CCAGACGACACTGTTACTTGACTCGAGAAGGACCGCAAACGGCGAGCCTCCTTCTGCACCTCTGAAGTACCAACCAAAACCGCGAGGCCTCGATCTTCTGCGGGCTCACCTAAAGTTGCCCAGAGGCCGGCCTATATTCGGTGGTCTACGTCTTTTGGGACAATCAGTCGAGGCTACATCCGGTCTTGCAAACAAGTCCAAGAGTCATTCTGCCGTCAGCTATGCCGATCAGATGGAGTATTCCTTATAGACTTCAGGACGGAGGCAGAAGGGCTGCTTAGGATAAGCCCAATCGTTCCTCCACCTTCCCTCCACACTCTCCTCCGCCTTTTGGCTTTTTCAACTTGATGATGACACTTTCACGGCGTACGATGATGCCTGTTTGTCTAAACTACGATATATACCATCTGGAAGGCCTTTTGCCCAGGGGAAGAGCGGACCTCTGGACCTTGACAACTAAATACCGGCTGATTTAAGTCGAACCCTGGACTGGAAAGGGCCATCACCTCCTGTCCTGCATAAATCAGCAATCCAATCAGCATATTTCGACACCGAAATGCCCTAAGTCCTATGTTTATATGGGACACCACGAACCGGGGGCAGCGTATCTTGGCCATCAACTGAAGGCAACATAAAGCAGAATACCTCACTGCACACCCTTTCACAATTAACGATGACTATTGTGCGTCATCACGTCACTCAACCTGCTTATAGTACACATAAATGGTTCCAAAAGCTACCCACTCACAACATGTACACACTTCTAGATGGAGCTCCTAGCATCCAAATGGTGACACTCATAGTTCTTGAGAGACTGATATCCAAGCCTGGCCGATTAAACATAAAAGCTGAGGAATTAGTTTACTCGAGATAATATGGTTTAGTTTTGGCCTCGTTTCACATAGCTCGACCTTGACATCCAAACAACAGTAGATTTATGCACACTTTCCTCTTAGGATATATGTAAATATCATCTTTCAATTACTTTTTCTGTCTTCACTTTAACACTTTTGTGCGTTTAATTCCCTATCTTAGACTACTCTGTTTTATACCCACCAATCTATAAATAGCTACTTCCATTCTATGTTTCTTTTTAATAGTCGCAGGTTTAGCCGCAGCCTCTTTTTTTTGTGTGGACTGGGTTTAACCTAGTCCTATACGTGAGCTCTTTGATGAGAAATAAAGTGATTTGGTTGATTTCAGTAATATGTCACCCTCGGGGCACGTGAGTATGTCTTTCTCTGTATGTGTATGTGCCTGTAGCTGTTCGTATATGTACGAAACCAACAGCGATGACCCAAAGTAATTAGGATAGCAAGGGTAGCTGTTGGGCTTAATTCCATTTTGAGTGAAAGTGTTTGATAAAGAAATTCGAAGCTCGATTCCA